TTCTCAAAAGACCTAAAAAAGGGAAAGAGAAGATTAGAAAAACTAAAATTTCTCTAGTACAATAATTCTAATGCTAAAAACTAATATATTGAAAACAAAAAGTGAGGTAAGAATATGGGACTAAGCCTTGTATACGTAGTTAGGAATGATATGTTGCTTTTATAAGGGAAATCATGCTCTCAGTTTAGGCAATATTAAGTTGGAAAAGTAAAAAAATTACGGGGCTCCATTAATGATCAGATTTGGAGTGAAATAGGAGTTTCTACAAATGGATCTTGTCAAAATTGTAGGTCTTTGTGGATAAACCTTTAACATGGTTGGGATTAAAGAGAGTGAACTATTACTTGTGATTGTTTCTCTCTCGTTAAGATAATGAGTTAAAAGTCTTAGGTACTTAAGAGTTTGAGTTTCAAGCTTTCAAATAAGTAGAATAACATTGCTTAAGTAGTAAGTAGTGTGCTAGAAGAGGGAGAGATCACGTTTTGTATTGGAGGACATTATTGCAAAAGTAGAATAAAGATTTATGCACATCTATAAATATATATATATATATGCATATCTGAACTTCAAAATGAATATACATTATGAAATAAAAGCCTTAATAACTAATAGTTTTATATAAATTTGAAAAACATCAAAGCACATTTAGTAAATTTCATAAAGCAAACTACATAAATTGAATTTGGATAAGATAAAACTACAAAAAATGAAATTATATTTGATCTTTGAAAGAGTTATGAACTTAATTGAAGTAGCTAAACATATACAATCGGCTAGTTTTTGTGTGAGAAATAGTTAAATTGGATATTAGGTAGAAATGGTCCCATTCTTACATATAAATTATTTACTCATCCCAAGGCAAGTGCGATTAATACATAATTGTTTAAAGAAAAAGAAAAAGAAGAAAAGAGGGTTTTATCCATATTCTTTTGTCAAGTATTAAGCTTATATATATATATATATATATATTTATTTATTTATTTTTTAAATAATAAAATTAAAAAAAAAAAAAAAACAGATTTTGGGTGTGCTCATCTTGTGGGAGAAGAATGCCTTTGAATCCCAAGATTTTTATTTTTTTCAATTGACAAAATTCTTGTAAATTTAGCTTCTATCATCATAAATAAAATATAAATTAATGTTCGTATGTTACTTGCCGCAGATTATATTTATATTTTATTTCTGATAAGCCCTCTAGGTTGTGACAATCTTGAGTGTTGAAGAGTTGGTGTGAGAACCAGGATTGTTGAATATATTAAATAATTTATATAATTCTTAATAAATTTAATGATTTTTTTTTTTTAAAAAAAACTTTCAGAAAATAAAAAATAATAATATTTGGAGGCTTAAAATATTAATATAAATTAATTTAATATATTTTCTTCTTTTATTTTCAAACTTGTACTACTTTTTTAACAACACTTTTTCACATCAACCTACTCTGCATTTTTGTATTTTAGATGTATGGTGTTTACTTATAAAATTGAGTCGTAGGGGCCCATTTAGCAGAAAAGCAGGCTGCTAACGTGCCCATTTCCCTCTTCTATTAATCCGACAAGAGTCCAATTAACATATTGATATATTATCTCAATATATATATATATATACACACGTAATGTTGTATGGCTATAAATATTTATATCAACCAATATCATAAGCTAAGATTATATCTCAAAATTGAATTTAATTTATGCATAATTGACCTTTAAAAATTCAATTCTCCTAAAAAATAATAATAATAAAATTAAGATACCCTTTTTATAGATACTTTGAACTACAATTCAGAGAATATAATTTATAAAATTAATAACTTAAATTCTCATTTAAATAATACAATTTTAATATTTATAGGGAAGCTAATGATATTTAAATTATATTTACATTTATTTAATTGCTGGGCATTCATTGAACAAAATTACTAGGAAAAATCCGTACTCAAATATTTATTTTTGTTTTCTAGCTACCATGTTCATAAATACTCTAATATTGAATTCTAAATTAGTTTTGAAAACTTAAACTTCATCACAAATACAAACAAATCTCACTGTTTCTCTCTTCTTTATCATCCTCTATAGTTCTCTAGTTTTTAAGACTAAATCTTAATTTTAACTTACTATATATGTATGTAATATTATAGTATGTGAAAATCATTTTTCAATGAAACTATATTATATGTGTAAATTATTAATTGAGATCTACAGAAGAAAAAGACACAAGTACAAACAAATTCCAAAAAGAATTTGACATGAATCCAAGCCTAAAACTTTTCAAAATAACTTTGAAGTTAAATCTTAGTTTCATCTATAAATTCACTGTTCAATATGCAAAACACAAAAATTTTAAATTAAATAAATAAATAAATAATATAGAGATAAAGAAGGATGACAGCTGATAAGAAGATAGTAAATTCTCAAAAATCATGAGTGTCTATCTTTATATCAACAAATGAAATTGAATTTTCTATAAATATAATTTGTTAATTTTAAATTTTTATAAGAAAAGTATGAGAAAATTTAGAGAACCTTTTAATTTATGTATGAGCTTCAAGAACATAAATTTTTAAATAAATAAATAAATAAATTTAGATGATGGAAGAGTCGTATGTACAATTTTATCAATGGTTAACAATGTTAGTAAAAGAAAGACATGATAGATATTAGAATAACATCCATGCAATTACTTCTAAGTAATAGGTTAAAATGTAATTACTTATAACTACAAGGATAATTTGTAATTTTGTCATAAGTTTAATGTTGTGTATAAAAATACTTCTTAAATCCTCAATTAATGGCATATTATCACTTTCTCCAATTTACAAAATCGAGCGTTCTCTCTTTCCTCTCATTCTTTTTGCTTTTCGAGCTCACTTCTCTTTCTCCGCCAATTTTCTCAAAATTTTTCTCATTCTATGCTATATTTCTATTAAATTCATCTTCAGATTTATCACCAAATTCGATACGGTATCAAAACATTTGCAATTTCTTTAATCGATCGATTGTGGTGAATGTTTAATGAAACCCTAGGTTTTGGTATTTCTATACTTTAATTCATCGAAAGTTGAAGATCTTCTTAACTAAATGGTCATGAAGGATATCTGAGTTAAGATTTATCAAAGTTTAAAGAATTTGTCTCAAATCTTTTCTATTTGCATCTAAATGAGAATCCTTCACTCCAGCTTACTTCAACGGTACTTACAGATAATAACTTTTATTCTTAGATATGTTCAATGCATATGGTTTTAATTTCTAAGAATAAGTTTGTAAATGAATCTCTTCCTATTCCAATAGAGATGATCCTTTATATGGAGTATGGGAATGATGTTATACTTTAATCATTTCCTAGACAATAAGAGCCCTTATCACCTTCCACAGCACAGAACATAAGTTAGATAAATTATGTAAAGGATTTATGGAAATATCTATATGATAGATTCGTACAAAATGATATAATGTGTGTTTTTGACTTTCAAGATGAGATATATTCACTAAAACAAAAAATACATTTGGTTACTAAGTATTTCACTCAGATAAAAATATTATGGCATGAATTATCAGAATTGAGACATGTACCTGTATATGAGTGTGAATCAAAATGTGTTTATAATATAACAAATATAAATAGAAGATATCAGGAAAAAAAACATAATCTCTCTGTCCCTTAAAGGATTGAATGAGTCCTTTAGTATAATGAAATCTCAAATATTATTTATTGAACCTCTGTCTTTTTTTAAATAAAGTCTTCGCGCTGTTGTTGCAATATGAGCGAAGTTTCAATGCATGATTCTCTATACAATATGAGTCAAATACATTGTATACAAATAAGACTTATAGTTAGCAAGAGAGAATGACTAATACTTATAATTTTGGAATTACTAAGAAGAATAATACATAAGCTAACAATAAAAGGCCAACTTATACACATTCGGGATTTGTTGACCATTCAATAGATAAATGTTTTAGGTAACATGGTTATCCATTAAGTTGCAAACCTAAGTCAAAGAATCTCTCAAGCATCAATCAAGCAAGCACTTGGTAAAGAATAATTTTGAAGTAGTAGCTGAATTCTATTTGAGATTCATCAATCAATGTAATATTTAAGGTGACTTGCCTATTTCTTTCACCAAAGACCAATATCAAAAGCTCCTAACCTTAATCTAACCTTATTCAGTTACAACAATTATACCACAAATTAGTACTTTCACGAACCTACATCACAACCAGGTAAATTTTTTTCACAATAAATAATTGGATCATTGATTTTGAGGTTACTGATCATATGATTAGTTCCACATGAGATGTCTGATTTCTACAAGACAATACTTTGATTAAATTACTTCAATTCTTAAACAGCACCTGTCATAGGAGATGTCTATCTTTCACCCAAATTTGTTCTTCATAATGTCAATGCCTTGTACGCCCTTACAGTTTTCCCTCACAGCTAGAAGACAGATTGGTATAACTACAATGAACAGTTTAACGACTCCTAAAAGTGTAACCAGAAGAACATTATGCTCAGGCGTAACTGCAAGGGAATTAATAGCTATACCCTCTTCTTATAATTGCAATACCTCTCGTCTCCATTCAAAAAAATGTTACAATAAATTTCAGCTTCAAGCTACAGGCACTGATTCATGATTCATTATCCCATTCCTTCTTAACTGTTAATTGTGGCAATTACCTGTAGAATTAGTCATTTTGCATGCGGCCTACAAAATGAATACATCAAACATAATTCCAGAATCGTCAATGCATGCATAAAACTTACACACAAGCAGACTCGAACACAGAGAGAGAAAGAGGCCTAAAACAAAAAGGGTTCAAGCCCGATGGTATTTTCACATATAGGCTGTGGTGCATATGGAAATCCCATTCTCAAATCATAGTGTCATAGGAAATTTGCATATTACAGAACTTGATACACATTAAATGCAATAAGCAGAAATCAGATCTTCTACTCAACATCTTGAAAGCAGAATAAAAACATTCAAATGCCCAACCACACTAGTTTAGTGTCCATACTTCTGGAACTCCCACTCGCTGTTATCTGTACAAACCAAACACCACAATATGAAGATTTCTTTTTCTTCTCATGGATATAACAACACATAATAGAAGATTAAAGAAAAATATTTAGAAGAAAATATGAGACATACCCAATGGGCAAACTTGACGAGTCTTCAGCCATCGGCTGATGCAATGGAAGTGAAATGCATGGTTGCAAACTCCTACATTTACAAAATATCAACACCTATTGTTACAATTCTTTTTTTTTCCCCAAGAAACTATTGTCATATATCACAAATGTCAAAACTCATGTATGAAGCACATAGACTGCGATAATCTGGCCTAGTTTAACATTAAGCACCATATATATGAAAGAAGCATAAATCCATGGGTCCAAACCCTAACAGGTCCAGATATAGCTCCATAAAAAGAATAGAAGAAGCTCATTTAAACAAAAGAAACTAGTAAGATAATTAAAACATACACAAGAAAAAAATCATAAGCCATGAATTATGTTGATGAAGTGATATTGTGGACTTCACATCGGGATGTCATGCTTTAAAAGAAAATAAAGTGGAATCTACTTTAAATATGTTTTTTTTTTCTTTAGAAGAGAAGTACTGTGAAATATTATTAAGAAGGCACCAAGAGTACCCATGTACAAAAAAAGTTATTAGATACAAACAAGTAGACAAATCTATCAGGTGATTAAACTCTCCTTCAGAAACCAGTTTACCAGAAAACCATAAATTTATTGTCTGAACCAGTTGCCATTAATCCCATGAAAAGGTGCCACTCAAAAAACTCCTTTATTTCTTTCCCTCAAAATGAAAGTAGGGAGTTCGGTGAGAGACATTCTCATAAATAGGAACTGTGCTACTACTTGAGGAATAAAACAAAGTAATCCAAAGATTGAGGGATAAACATATGTTTACTAAATTATAGTCCATCATGAGCTAAAAGTTTGAACATAAAATCAATAACGAATATAAGGTGAACGAATATCAGGTTTGGTCACTTGTATCTTACATACCAAGAAGAAACAAAAAAGAAACAATAGAACTGCTAGTTATATCTTCAAAACCAAGAAGAAAAAAAAGAAAGCTCATTAGCAGATAATCAATGTTAACTATATTCTAATACTCCTACTCTATATAAGAGTACAGCTATGGACATGATCT